TTTGGTGAGGCAATTGGAGTTAAGTTACTTGCCCAGAGTCACACAGCTAGTGAGTGTTACATACTACTCCTTTGCTCAGAAGTCTTCCATGAGTCCTTGCTACCCAGGTGAAGTTCTGCCTTCTTGCCCTGTGTCTCTGTAGCTTTCCAACCTTGCCTTGTGTTAATTCTTTTTACAAACTACTCTTTAATTCAGTACAATTTGGTGAACATTTATTAAGCACCTACTATGTGCCAGGTACTTTGCTAAGCTGGGGATATAAGAAGAGGCAAAAAACGGTCCCTGCCCTTAAGGAGATTACAGTCTAATTGGGGAGACACTATGCAAACAAATCTATACAAAGCAAACTATATCCAGGATAAATAAGAAATAATTAAAACTGGAATTAAGAGGGGTTGAGGAAGGCTTCCTGTAGAAGGTGAGATTTTAGTTGGAACTTGAAGGTAGCCAGGGAGGTCAGTAGTCAGAGCTGAAAAAGGAGAGTTTTGGGAATGGGGGAGAGCAAGAGAAAATGCTCAGAATCAAAAGACAGACTCTCCAGTCAAGTCCATATCTCTCTGCCTTCTGAGCATATTCTGAGCCCTCCAGCCTCCCTCAGTGTCTCTGCTCATGGGAGTCTCTGGGGCTGGAATGTCCTCCCTTTCCCATTTTGCCTGTTAAATTTCCACCTAGCCTTTAAAGCAGGAATTCTTAACCAGGAGTTAAATGTTCTGCCCACAGTGGTTGTTTAATAAATGTGTTTTGATTGGTTGACTTATCCATGCCAGAGGGGGTTCTTGGTCAAAGTTAAATTTCTTTGATTAACTGAGGAAATTGCTTTGTATGCTTGAAAGAGCAACATAAATTTGATTTGTTGTCTTAAAATCCCAATTTATAAAACAGATTTGATATTTATAGGATAGATTTCCAGGGGTCTCTGAACTTGGATGAGGAAAAAAATTAGATCTTTCATTTCGACATAATTGGTTTTCTTTGTATTTCTCAGTATTTTATTTTATGCATTTAAAGACATTTTTTTCTAAGAAGGAATCTATGACTCACAAAAAAGTTAAGAACTTCTGCTTTCAGGTCTTACTCAGATTTCCTCTCTTCCATGAAGATGTCCTGATGTGTCTGTCATCAGTAATACTCTTTCCTCTTAAATTTCAAAAAATATTTTGTATTATGGTAGTGTAGTGTTGCAGATCACTCAAACAAAATGCAAGTACCTTTTAGCCCACATTACACTGTAAGTTCCACGAGGACAAAGAATGTATATTTAACTTTATATCTCCCCCAGCACCTAACACAGTGCTCTGCATCAAAGAGTTATCCTCTAGAGGTATTTTGATTGGTTGACTTAGCCACATCAAAGGGAGTTTTTGGTTAAAGTTAAATTTCTTTGATTAACCTAGGAAATTGCTTTGTAGTCCTGAAAGGGCTATCTCTATAAGCTATTTAAATGTGAGTTGTTCTAAGACCCCTAATTTTTAATTTTATTTTTTATTTACTGTTTTTTCTTTTCTTTAATATTTAATGTTTTATTTTCCCCCAATTATATGTAAAGGCAATTTTTAACATTTGTTTTTAAAAATTTTGAGTTCCAAATTCTCTCCCTCCCTCCCCACCTTACCTCACATTGAGAAGGCATACAATTTGACATAGGTAATGTGTGTGTAGTCATGCAAAACATATTTCCATATTAGTCATGTTGTGAAAGAAAACACCATCTCCCCCCCCGAAAAAAATCCAAGAAAAATAAATGAAGTTAAACAAAGTATGCTTTGATCTACATTCAGATCCTGTCAGATCTTTCTCAGGAGGTGGATAGCATTTTTCACCATAAGTCCTTTGGAATTTTCTTGGATCATTGTATTGCTGAGAATAGTTGTCATTCAGTTGATCATCATACCATATTGCTGTTACTGTGTATAATGTTCTACTAGTTCTGCTCATTTCACTTTACATAAGTTCATGTAGGTCTTTCCAGGTTTTTCTGAGAGCATCCTGCTCATCATTTCTTATAGCACAATAGTATTCCATTACATTTATATACTACTTGTTCAGCCATTTCCCAACTGATGGACATCCCCTCAATTTTCAATTCTTTGCCACCACTAAAAGAGTTGCTGTAAATATTTTTGTGTATATAGGTCCTTTTCCTTTTTGTTTTTGTCTCTTTGGGATACATACCTAGTAGTTGTATTGTTGGGTCGAAGAGTATTCATGGCTTTATAGCTCTGTGGGCATAGTTCCAAATTGCTCTCTAGAATCTAAGACCCCAATTGATAAAATACTTGAGTTGTCAGTGGATTTCGAAAACATGCAAATTTTTATTAAAAGTATCTTTATTAAATGAAGATTACAGCGTAAGAGGTAGATATAGGCATCACTCTGCCACTGACACAAAGAATCATCTCCATATGTTATTGTTTGTAAATCCATTGTTCTCTGATGGTGAATGTTTGCTTACTGCAGTGCCTCTTCTCCCGACTTGTAACACCACTAAGCGATACCATGTAACCTTTTCATACATTTCATACCATGAGCTTTTTCATGTGTGTTTGTTTTTAAATGTGTTTCCATTTGTGACAAGGTTTGGATACAGGGAAGCAATTCTGGTGTACCTTTAGTTTTTTAATATCCGTGGGCCTCAGTTTACCTGAGGGTGAACCGAGGAGGTTGAGTACCTTCTAGCTCTAAATCCTATGATTGACAGAAAGAGAGCTCTATTTCCCTTAGCATTCTATTTTTTTTTTTAGGCAACTGGGGTTAAGTGACTTGCCCAGAGTCACACAGCTAGTAAGTGTAAGTGTAGTAAGTGTTTGGTCTGAGGCCGGATTTGAACTCAGGTCCTCCTGACTTCAGGGCTGGTGCTCTATCTGCTGCACCACCTAGCTGCCCCTTAGCATTCCCTTAGCATTCTAAGACTACACAGAATTAAGTCTTATGTTTTCATCTCATGGATTATGTATAGCATGTTTAATCTAAGGCTGGCATCCCCGTCACCCAGATCTCTTTCTCTCCTTAGCAGCTGCTCTTTGTCTAGGCAAGGCCAATGCTTTTTAATATCATCCCAGACCTCAAAGAGTGAGGCAGGGAAATCTGGCACAGAGAATCTCATACGAAAACTTCATACCAAAAGGTGATATTTTGGATTAGTCAGTCAGTCAGTCAGTGAGTTGAGAAACAGTTGATAAACATTTATTAAGCACCTACTATGTGCCAGGCCAAATGGTAAGCTCTGGGCTTACAAAGAAAGGCAAAAGACAGTCCCTACTGTCAAGGAGCTCACAGTCCAATAGGGGGGACAACATGCAAACAACTAATGTCCAAACGAGGTATAGAAAGATAACTTGGGGATAGCTCTAAGATTAAGGAGGGCTGGAAAGGCTTTCTGTAGAAGGCAGATTTTATGGGGCAGCTGGTTGGCACAGTGGATACAGCACCGGCCCTGGATTCAGGAGGACCTGAGTTCAAATACAGCCTCAGACACGTAACACTCACTAGCTGTGTGACTCTGGGCAAATCACTTAACCCCATTGCCCAACCAAAAAAAAAAAGAAGGTAGATTTTAATCAGCTGGTACTTGAAGGAAGCCTGGGAAGCCAGGAGGTGGAGATGAGGGGATGGCCAGGGAAAATACCTGGAGTTGGGAAATGGAGGAGCAGCAGAGACCATTGGTCATTGGATCACAGAGAATGGGGTGTGAGGTGTAAGGTGTAGCAGACTGGAAAGGCATCTGTATGTGGGGAGGAGATTTGAACACCAGAGGAATTTTATATTTGATCCTAGAGGTGATGGATGGGGGGGTGTGGGTGTGTGGGTGTGATATATATATATATATATGTACACACACACACACACACATATATATAATATATACATATATATATTATATATATTATATATATGTGTATATATATATATATATATATATACAGAGAAAGGGAGAGACAGACAGACAGACAGATAGACAGACATGGTCAACAAGAAGATAACTTTGACAGCTGTGAGGAGGATGGACCGGAGTGGGGACTGGTGTGTTTTAACTGTCCTAGCCACTACGACCTGCCCTTATCAGTGGGGAATGGAAAGCAGAGGCAAGGGTCCTACGGTTTGAGCCAATAACAAAACAGATCACTCAGAGTTAGAAGGGAGTGGGAAACTGACTAGTCAGTTTACCAGATTTGCCAGCGGTTCTGCTTAGGGTGTGTAGAGGCACTGTGGTAGTTTGGGTGATGGGATTCCTCCTTGGCAGAGAGGGCAAGGCAGGGCAGGACAAAGAGAAGGGAATAGGCTCTGTTTACAGGCCAAAGTAGGCCAAGACACCGGATTCCATTCAGTTCTTTTACAGTTATTTTTTTCATTAGGTATTTCCCAATTAACATGTAAATTTTTTTTTAACAATCATTTAAAAAAAATTTTGAGTTTCAAATTCTCTCCCTCCATTCCTGTCCTCTCCCCTCCTTGAGAAAGCAAGCAATTTGATATCAATTATACGTGTAAAGTCATGCAAAACATGTTTCTGTACTAGCTATATTGCAAAAGAAAACAAACACAATAAAACAATAAAAACAAACAAAGTTTATAAAGTATACCTCTGCATTCCAAGTTCATCATTTCTCTCTCTGGAGGTGGACAGCATTTTTCATTATGGATCCTTTGGAATTGTCAGATCATTGTATTGATCAGAGCACTCGAGTCTTTTATGGTTGATCATCCCTACAACATTGCTGTTACTATGTACACTATTCTTTTAATTCTGCTCACTTCTGTATCAATCTTTCTGAAGCTGTCCTGCTCCTTCATTTCTTATAGCACAATAGTATTCCATCACTATCATATGCCACAACTTGTTCAGCCATTCCCTAGTTGATGGGCATCCCCTTAATTTCTAACTCTTTGCCACCACAAACCCCCCCCCACAAACAACAACAACAACAACAAAACTACTATAAAGA